CTTCCCTCGAATACATGTTATCCTCTGTGGTTTCAATTATTCTTGATCAGTTCTATTCACAATATTGTTGCAGCCTTCACCTATTCCTCCCTATTCTTTTCCTGTCTCCAGTCATTCATGTTTTCTTAAAGCAGTTTAGGAATTTGCTCTTTGGCACTGAAGTGAATAAATCACCCTTAATCTGGCATATGAATGGATATCTGAACACATTCTATGAGTGCTCTCCACAACTATTTCTGCTTCACTGGTTTCTAAAAATTTTAGTCCTTTTAAGCATTCTAAAGTGGTTTGTATAAAGTACAAAAAAGGTAACCATAAAATTATGTGCTTCTCTTGAATAAGAAGAAGAGACCAAAATTTCTGTGCAAGAAGGATGTAAGTTCCAAACTCTCCTGCCTCTTCAAAAAAAAAAGACATCAACAAAACTAGCACTTATCATCAGAAGAAAAGATTATTCCAATTTTTTTTGGTAGTAAAGTTCTGACCCGAAAGCCTTGCAGTGCTGAATAGCTTACTCCTGTTGTTTTTATCCACAGATCGAAAGTAGAAGGAAGTGCAAGTGAGAGGAAGGTGGTATTTGCAGTCTCTGCCAGCCCAGGATTGAGGGAAGTGAGAAGACTGAAGTGCCTTGCTCATTATTAGGCATAAAGTCAGAAGATGAAAGAGCATTGTTGGTCTGACTCATCTCAGGCTTATCTTATAAAAGGGCCAACTCAGTCCCCTGGGACTGATGGGACTCACCCATCTCCTGGGAGGGTGGATGTGACTTCTGTGGGGTTCATGAATGAGATTCTAAAACGTGGAGTTGATTCCATAACTTGATTTATCATTCAATGAGTAGGAAGTTCACCTTCCTCAGAGGGATTATCAACAGCTCTTTAATTTGTCTTCCTATTGTTTGGTAAAACTTTGGAGACAACACAGAATTTCTGCATAAATACAATGACTTGTATTTTCAGGAACACCATTAAGTATGAATGTATATGCTTTCCTTAAAGTACTGGGTAGTGATGCTGTGGTGGATACCGGCTGTTTCTTGTCAAGGTCAATAATGAAAGAGGGTCATGCAGAGAAGATTCCTGTGTATATAACAGGCTTGGAACATGTTCTGCACCATCATGAAAGCCAATACACAGGTTTTTTAAACACAACAGGCATAATCCAATGCTCTGACACCTTCTCGGGGCTGCTGGCGGCATCTGCAAAATTCCCTGTGACCCCAAGGAAGATTTTGGCAGCTCTTTGTCCAGCTGTCTACCATTCTCTAATGAGATGGGGTGTGGCTGGTCACTGCTGGGTAAAATCTTTTCCAGAAAAAGCCCCGATTTTCAGAGAAAACTGTTAATAGTAATAAAGTGGCTCTGATGAAGTTGTTAGAACTCTCGAAGCCCACAGCACAGAAGTTTCCCCACACAGGCTTGGACTGCTGACAGCCTGCACCTCCTCAGAGGCACAGGGACACAGCTTTAGATAACCAGGAGGGACTCCACTGCCCCAAGGAAAACCGCTCCCCTGTGGTGTTAGCTTCAACAATGGCGGTGAAGAAATACTGGCACTCATTGGAGGTATAAAGTCTCAAAAACCTTAGGTCTCCTCCAATTCCAGCCTCCCCAAATCTGCATTAAACTCTCAGGTGTGTGCCCAGAGCTGTGGACCTGGCCCAGCAATCTGACCTCTTCCTCGGCCCTCAGGACCAACTTTAAGGGGCAGGAGAGCACCTCCCCTCCCCGTCACAAGGCTTAGGCATCTGCAGAGGCTATGACTTTGGAGGAAGGAGAACGGTCTGGCTGGGCACAGGGATGATATGCATGTTAATACAGGTGATGCCAGGCAGTAAAGAGAAATCCTCAGAGGACGATGATGTAGCCCCAACACTGCAATGCACAGCTGCCGGAACTTGAAGGGAAAAGGACAACCATCTTTTTAATGAAGGCCAGTTTACAGAAATTGATTTTGGATGGCTCTGCACCAAGTTTGCACAATGCAGCAAAAGTCCAAATTGCTTCTGAGAGGCAGGCACTTGCTCTTGGTAAAACTGATGTTTTTGTCATATTCAGAACTTTTATTTTAATCCATATCAGTGTGCTCCTAGAAGAAAAAGGACAGGGACACTGACTGCTCTGTCTTCTTCAGAAAAAAATGAAAGAAAGTCAGAGAAAGGTCTATTATAAACAGGGCAGCCTGAGAAGGGCCAGCACTGACATGAGTTTTCGGGTATGTGGAGGACGTGCCTACGTGGTGAGAGGAGGAAACCCTTGCTTTAAGTCAGATGTTCCACAACTGGCTGAGGGCAATGCTATGGACTTCCATACTGTTTACCTAAGGGCCTCAGGAAAATAACATTTTAACTTCTTGTTTATCACAAATTGTTCTCTTGTATCTGGTTTAGAACACATGCAATTCTTTGTCACCCAGAAGCCCAGACTCCTGAGGATTTAGAGCACCTGACTCTTTGAAGTATCGAGTCCTGATTACCAAATGGCGTTGAGCCGAAAGCACTTTCCTAGTCCGCATTTTCTCCTTCTTCCCAGTTGATGTTACTGTCAGAGAATCAACATAGTCTGGAAGGTGAGTGATCTCTCGGTAGGCAATGATCTGCGTTCCGGCTCTGCTACTTTCTAGCTATGTCCCCTGGGGCAAGTCACTTCACTTCGACCCCAGGCTTGATTTTTGTGAAATACAAATAATGGTATCAGCTACCTCAACTGATTCAACAGTAATACTTGGTATTTATTAAACATGTGCAATACAAGCATGTTCTAAGTTTTATATACGCTCATCTCATTTAATGCTCACAATAGCTCATTGAGTTGGGTTCTATTTCATTTTATGCAGATAAGGAAACTGATGCTTAGCGACAACATGCTCATGTTCAAGTCAGAGTTCCAACACAGGCGCTCTGCCTTGAGGGGCATGCGGTCAACCACCACCTACAGTGGGAATTAACTGATATAACAAACACAGCACTCTTAGCACAGTGGCTGATGCAAAGTTTCAATGAAAGTTTCAATGCGATGAATGTTAAAATGGTATTAATGAGAATATTAGTTTAAAGAATATTGTGACTTGTTAAATGTTTAGAGAGAACTGAGCTTTTTTATTATAATCAGAAGTAAGTAGTAGTAAGTTCTTTGAGGAAAGAACTGAGATTTACTTATTTTTGGAGCCTCAGATGCCACAACAGTACAGCTGGCAAAGGTGCCCTGGGAATATCTGTTAAATGAAGAATGAATATCGACTCCACTTGAAATCATCAGTATTACAGAGAAAACCTGACTGAAACCACTTGCAGCTGGTTTAAGCAAAAACATTATCTAGAAAAGATACTGATGTCCCCTTTCACCCTTTGTATTTATTACTGGCAAGGCCTCATTAGCCTGTGATTTTAAGGGACTATAGAACACAAAGAAATTGTGTTGCATTTTTGTCCTTATTGGGTAGTATTTACCAAGAAATACTCTCCTTCCCAAATTATGCTGAAGATACATCAAGAAACTTCAGGGCTTTCTCATCTTAACCAAGTCAAAATCAGATGCTGCAGAGCCTTAATTAAGAAAGCTGTCAGGAGCCCTGGCTGGTGTAGCTCAGTGGATTGAGCACCGGCCTGCGAACCAGACAATCGAGGTTTGATTCCCAGTCAGGGCACATACTGGGGTTGCAGGCCGGTTCCCCGAAGGCCAGTTCCCACCCAGCAGGGGACACAGGAAAGGCAACCATACATTGATGTTTCTCTCCCTCTCTCCTTCCCTTCCCCTCTAAAGATAAATAAATAAAATCTTAAAAAAAAAAAAAGAAAGAAAAAAAGCTGTCAGGGACTTGGCTTGGGGGAACATCAAAGGTTATGAAATTAATTTTTAATTATATGTATTTTAAATTTTCCAACACAATATCAATAAATATAATTAAATTTTATTAATTTTTAAAATTTATTTATGTATTTATTATTACAGAAAGGGAGGGAAAAAGAGAGGGAAGTGTGTGTGTGCCTCTCATTCACCCCCAACTGGGGACCTGGCCCATAATGCAGGCATGTGCCCTGACTGGGAATCGAACTGGTAACCCTTTGGTTCACAGGCTGGCACTCAATCCACTGAGCCACACCAGCCAGAACTTATTAACTGATATATAACTTGATTTAAAATGTTAACACAATATAAATAATAAAAAATAAAATATTGTCCTAATAATATTTCAGTTTATGATACTTATTTTTAGGAGAGTACAGTCTTATATATCATTCATACAATTATGTAATATTGGAAATTTACTAAAATCCTTATTTTAAAAATTAGAAAACCTGGATGCAAAAAGCTTCACATCTTATTACAAAATCAAACAACAGATAAATGGCAGAACCATTTCAGGGGCATATCCAGGCATTTGAATAGAAATGTAGCCTTGGAATGATGCCATTTGAATAAGACAGGAAAACAGACAAGTTTCAGCACAGTTCAAATATTCAGAACTGGCATTATCTAATCACACACATCTGAATGCCCTTTATATTTTTAACCATTTTTTTCTCAAGGACAAATTTTCTTGAGATTGTTCCTATGTTTAAAGTAAAAACCAATGAAAAAGAGACAGAGCTAGAAGGAACAAGATAGAATTTAATTACGATCATGCTACTTAAATAATTTTAAACACATCAAAAATATTTTTAGAGAATCACTGTAATTATGTTTATAAAACACAGACCTTCGGAGAAGAATGTATTGGTAAATGACTGCTGCTAAAATCCTGAATATACTCCAGTCCTGATGTCACCTGTAACCGTCCAGCCTCCAACTGGAGGTAAGCCATTACTGTGAACTGGAGTGAGTGAGTGCAAACGTGAGCTCATTCAACCTTCTCTGTGGCTGTTTTCAAAGCGGAGGTAATAAGCACCCTAGCTCCACAAGGATCTACTTGTGATACCCTGAAGGACTGTCTCTCTGGAACTATAGGTGTTGGTGACAGAGGGAAGACCTCAGAAAGATGACATCATGAGCAGTAATTACCTGGGCATGTAAAGGACTCTCTCGGCCACCACGAAGCCCACCCTGAAGAAGAGATTGCTGGCTGGAATGAATGGGAAAACCAGGAACAACAAGCCCACTAGAACTTCCTTGTGCTCCAGTCTCTGAAATACACAACAGGGGAGGACAAATTAATTTTGGGTTAATTCCACTTCACTCAGCAGTATTTAACCAGCTCTTTCTCTGTCCAGTTCTCATTGAAGGAATGACTAAATGAGACCAATGAAAATCTTTTGATCCACACACTGAATTCATCAGAGAAAGCCCTCAGGCTAACACCTCTGCATGTCAAAATATTCACACATGCACCCAGACACGCATTTGCCACCCAGAAACATCTGCCATTTGCATAATATGCTCAGGGGGCAATACTCCTTGTTCTGGGCTGGCTCTACAGCAACCTGTTTCTTGGTTCTGGCCCTTCGGGCAACTCATTCCCAGGGAACAAAACAACTGACATACCCCAGCTCACGAAGGCATCATGCAGAATTATTGTCCTCTCAGAAATAGAATGCATATAAAAAAGAAAACCAGACACCAGGAGAAGCAGCGATTACCATAAAGGAAATTAAATGCAAATGGTAAATTTGGTACCAATGAGGAAGACCATTTGAGTTGAAGAGTTTTTAACAGCTCTGAAATTAAGCCAGTAAGCAAGTATTTATTCCATGAATTTTTTTGGAATTAAAATTCATTACAAGAAGAGCTCATTAACTGACAAAGCACCTTTCTGTAATATTATACATACTACTTTGTAAAGATTTTTCTGTCACAGTTCAAAGAAAAAAATCTGTTTGTTACTAATAATATGTTGTAATGGACACAGTAAAAAATAGCTCATATTTCATGAGTGTCCATGGCATGGACACATTTGAAGAGAGGCCTATTTAATGCAAATCTTACTGTGCCAGGGGTTACTTCTTTTCCATTTATAAAAGTTTAAGAAAACCAAATAGAACTTTCCATATTACAGTTTTAAATGTTTCTTATGCACATGTAAAATAGTCTATTACTTTTAATAATTGTAGAAGACTAAATAAAAAATTTCAAAATGTAAATATTAGGGACTCCCTAATATAAACTACTAATACTTTAAATATACAAACTGAAAAGTTTTAAACATCTTGGAATATTTGTCATCTGGATTTTATTAAAATACTTGTGTTTTTTTTTTACTACAACTATATAGAGTAATAAAATTTCTGACAGTAAGTCCATATGAACAAATGTGATTTGGACAATTTCCCTTAATAGTTAACAACCTATAAATAATGATCTCATTTTTTAACCTAAAGGAACCACACTCTTTAGAATTAAAAGATGAAGGGGGGAAAAAGCTTCCTTAACAAGCTTGCCACTAAAATAGGTACAATAATGTTGTATTTTCTATGACTCACTAAAATTGATTTTAAAAACTGGGTGAGAAAAAGTAGCAAGTTCATTATACTTAAAACTGCTATCTTTGCAATTTAGATTACACTTTGAGTTTACAAAGTACATTTCAGTTCAAGAACTTAAAGTTTGCATAATTTAAAAAATAAACACTATCATAAAAATTCTATGACATCAAGAGCAAGTGTGTCTTGCTAAAGTTAAAAATAAATCCCAGATAAAGAAGTACAAATTGGTAGTTACAAAACAGTCACAGGGATGTAACGTACAGCATAAGGAACATGGTCAGTAATGCTGAGATAACTACGTACAGTGCCGGCTACGTACTGGAAGTATGGAGGGGAACACTTTGTAAAGTAGGTGATTGTCTAACCACTATGCTGTACACCTGAAACTAATCAAAATAACACTGAATATAAACTGTAATTGAAAAATAATAATTCTATATTAAAAATAAATAAAACAAAGCCTAGTAAATGTTTTGTTGAGCATTCTTCCTAAAATCTGTGCCTGTAACTAAGTACAAGGTTAATATGCTCTTTTTACAGGTACACTTTTTAAAAGTATATTTTATTGATTATATTATCACACTTGTCCCATTTTTCTCCCCTTAATCACCCTCTACCATGCACCCCTCTTCCCTTCAGCATTCCCACACTTAGCTCACATTCATGGGTTACACATGTAAGTTCTTTGGATTCTCCACTTTCTATATTATTCTTAACTTCCCCCTGTCTATTTTGTAGCTACTAATTATGCTTATTCCCTGTACGTTTCCCCCCATTCTCCCCTCTCCTCATCCCCACTGATAACCCTCCACGTGATCTCCATTTCTGTGATTCTGTTCCTGTTCTAGGTGTTTGCTTAGTTGGTTTTTGTTTTTGTATTTTCGTTTTTAGGTTCAGTTGTTGATAGTAGTGTTTGTTGTCATTTTACTGTTCATAGTTTTGATCATCTTCTTTTTCCTAGATAAGTCCCTTTAACATTTCATGTAATAAGGGCTTGGTGATGATGAACTTCTTTAACTTAATCTTATCTGGAAAGTACTTTATCTGCCCTTCCATTCTAAATGAAAGCTTTGCTGGATAGAGTAATCTTGGATGTAGGTCCTTGTCTTTCATGACTTCTTTCCAGCCTCTTCTTGCCTATAATGGTTGTTTTTTTTTTTTTTTGAGAAATCAGCTGATAGTCTTATGGGAACTCCTTTGTAGGTAACTGTGTCCTTTTCTCTTGCTGCTTTTAAGATTCCCTATTTATCTTTAATCTTGGCTAATGTAATGATGATGTCCCTAAGTGTGTTTCTTCTTGGATCCACCTTCTTCGAGACTCTCTGAGCTTCCTGGACTTGCATGTCTAGTTTCCTCACCAGACTGGGGAAGTTTCCTTCATTTTTTGTTCAAGTAAGTTTTCAATTTTGTGCTGTTGTTCTCCTTCTGGCACCCCTGTGATTTGGATGTTGGAACGTTTAAAGTTTTCCCACAGGTTCTTAAGCCTTTTCTAATTTTTTTTTTTTAATTCTTGTTTCTTCATTCTGTGCTGGTTAAATGTTTATTTCTTCCTTTTGTTCAAAATCATTGTGATCTGAGTCCTGGTTTCCTTCTCCTCACTGTTGGTTACCTGTATATTTTCCTTTATTTCACCTTGTATAACCTTTACTTCTTCCTTTATTTTGTGGCCATATTCAACCAATTCTTGAGTGTCCTAATTACCAGTGTTTTGAACTCTGTATCTGATAGGTCTGCTATCTCCTTATGACTTCATTCTTTTTCTGGCGTTTTGTTCTCTTCTATCATTTGGGCAATATTCCTTTGTCTTGGTGCACCAGTTTGGATGGATACTTCTTCAACTCAGTTATCAGAGTTCCATACAGTTCGATTTCCTGGAAGTTCTGGTTGTTTTTTGTTTCTAAGTTGGTTGTTTCCCCATTTCGGTTGTGCAAGGATGTGAAGTGTATCTACCTACGCCTCTATCTCAGCCAGAAGCTGATATTGGTTTCTACAGGTGCACTTTTGAAAAAGATAGCTGAATACTTCTTAAAAGCTGAAACACTTTTTATAAAAGTGTTCATCTTCCTGTATACATTTCTAAAGATAATTTAATATTTCCTATTTGTTAATCCTATAGAATTAAGAGGAATAAGGGTATAAACAGAACTCCCACTGGGCTATTATCCAAGTCACTAGCCAGTGTTCTGTCCAAAGAAGTGCCTCCCTGGCCCTCATCAAGGCTATTAGAAAACAGCTGTCACTGGGGATAGAAATGGGGAAAAGAGACTTCACCTTCACACCCCTAACATCACACCTCCTTGCCTGACCAAAGGCTACCCTCCTCACTCTGATGAGCAGATGGTTATGTCCTTTACTCAACAAAACACTGAGTGCTTCCACAGCCACTATGTTGGGAAGAAGTGGGCATCAGGTGTATGGCGAAGTCCAACTTCATGCCGCCTCCCTCCTCATTCACCGAGCCCCTACAGTGAGCAGGGTCCCCAAATGGTCACTGCTTCTGGGGACATGGAGATGGGCTCTTCAGGCTCCAAGCACAGTCTCTATTTCCTTCATGGCAATCATTCCAGCTATAACTGCATATTTATCTGAACGTTTACTACTTTCAACACCTCCACTAGGTGGTAAGCTTTATGGGGCAGGGAGCCAGTCAGCTGTGTTCACTGGCATGATTTGTGTTTAGCCCAGTGCCTGGCACTTAGGAAGTCCTCATAAATATCTGTTGAATAACCTAATATGTGAATAAATATACCGGGTAAAAGAAGAGGAGAGGATAGACAGGATTTCCTGGTGGAGGTGACAACCTTGGTTTGAAAAATGAATGAATGCCTACAAGGCAAATCTGGTATGCCTGTGAGGAGGGTTCAGAGCTAATCTAATTCCAGGAAGCAGATACAGAATGTACAAAGCAGGGAGTAAAACCATACATGTTGGTGGTTGGCGAATCATGAGGATCTTGTCAGCCCTGTGTGGAGCTGACCTTTAGAGCCAGTAGGGAGCTACGAAAGGGTCTGATGTGTAGAAAGAAAGAAGAGCAAGTCAGTGTCTAGGAGATGCCACCTGGATTCAAACTGTGGTCCTGCCATCAACACACCATTAGTTGCCTGGAGTGGGGACCTCATTACCTCTCCCATGCCTCACCTGTAAAATGAGACAAGTGAGGCTCAGGGCTCGGTGGGGCTAGATGGTCATAGAGATTTCTTTATCAGCGGAGGTCCACATTATTGGACTTGTGAGTTGTGGGCTCAGAGGCGATCGCTCCGTGCTCCCTGATGGGCTGGTCTTACAGTGTATTTTTCTTTGTTTTCAAAATATTCAATTGAAGGCTATGGCATTGTGCCCACACTTAATGAAGTTTTGTTATTTTATTTTGAAGAGAATAATATTTGTGAAAAAGTCATTTACTCTCAAATTAAATTGATGATTATATTCTTTGTCTTTCCTCCTTTCCATTGGGTCAAGAGGAATAGAAAATATTCAAAAATATATTTCTTTAAGCTGTGAGCCAATCAGTCAAGCATAAAGTTAGAAAAAAATATGTCATGGATGTGGCTGAATTTCCTAGAATGAGAAAGACTGGGAGGGAATCCAAGTTAGTATCCTGTGGGTCACAGCTGTAACAAAATTGCCTAAATAATTTATAGCTCATTTCGGCCTAATACAGTCCGATGAAATACAAACAAAATATGGGTGGAGGAAAAGGAGAAAATCTGTGGCATTTTCCAAAACACACAAAAGTGCATTTATTTCTAGGAAAAGAAGCAAATGGAAATTTACTTATTCCAAATTACACTAGGGGGTGAAAAGGCATGAGAATTCAAAGAGCTAACTTTGAATCATTATGAGCCACTGATAATACACGTCACTTGCTGATTAACTGTGCAAGTTCAGACAAATTAATTTACTTCTCTTTAATTTGATGATCAGTGAAACAAAAGCAAGGGTATTGATATCTATTGTATTAGTAAGAAAAACGTGTGAGAGATTTACCATAATTTTCTTTTCTGGCTTAGAAGAATATAAAGAAGCAGCCTCCTGAGCTTTAAAGAGCTAAAAATATCTTAACATCCCTCCTAAGGTGCCCAGAGAATCACTCAGCCCCTGTTGGCCGAGCCACACATCTGAACAAGTGGCTCAGTTTTCTCAGAACCAGCAATTACTTCCAAGGAAATCCAGCTCCAGAATCCATGTCTAGGCTGAGAGCTTGTGGTTTATCCCTTCCCCATCTTACTCTCCAAGTTCACCTTCCAAAGCACTGGTCACAGATGAGGAGGACACACAGACAGACACACGCACGCACTGTGGCCAGCGGCAGGTGAGTGCGTGCTCCTGAGAAGTGGACCCCTCCCTGTCTCATTCAGCAAAGACAACTTCTGCTGCAGGCTGTTCCCTTCCACAGAGCCAGAGGAAGGTCCCATTATAGCAACTGCTGTCATCACTATTACCACATTTTCTCTCACCTCTAAACAGGTTTCAGAAAAGTGGCGTGGTGCATTTAGGGTGTGAGCATGTTGTCATAGTTCTACATACAGCACAGTTCTATTGCAGTCCGAAGAATTTATTTGGCAACTCTAGGCCCTAACTGTCTATATCCTATTTCTCAATTTTCAGGGAGTTGATTCAGCCCTGGGGGTGAGACATTTGCCAAGATGACAACTGGCTGAACACACGAGGCCCTCCTTTTGCATCTGCTTATGGGTCTACTTCCTCCCTTAGACTATAGATTCCTCCAGGATTCACCATCTCGTGTGAATTTTTTACCTAGAGACCTGGCACATAACAATCATCATTCGACAAGTATGTATCATGGTAGTAGAGACCAGTGATGAAAGTCATACATGTATCAATCACTGGGGTCCTCAAGCACCCCAACAGCCATTTCAGGGACTCGCCACTAAGGAAAGCTTTTGCTTTTAGTAACCCTCGGAAACACAGGATTTGCAACATTAATTTGGGGTGGAAGGCCCTTCGTCCTTGAGCGTCCCAGAGTATCTTATAAGGGTCTGGCACAGCTGGCCAACAGTGCTGAGGTGCTTCTAACCAGGATGTATGCGGACCTTCTGCCCTCCTCTAATTCCATTCACTGCTACTCCTTATTGTATTTCCAGGTCTTCCACGATCACTCAGCTTTTGTGCTCAGGAAAACTAACATCTTTCATTTTATTGAAATTCAATTTTAATTTTTTAGTATTTTAATTTACTAAATATTCCATTATTTATTTACTACTACTATTATTATGAAAGTTCTTTTTACTTGAGAAAGACAAATTATTGAATCAATTGGAATCTCCCGATGCTTTATTTGAGTGCAGAATGCTGTCTCATTTATTATGAGGGCTTTGATCTGCATTCCACTTATTGAGCTGGGCAGCAAGCTAGGCTCATTCTCTGGCTAAGAGACTCCCAATCTGCAACCCTACAATTTGTGCAAGTTTAAATGAATTCCAAATTAATCTTCACTACAACACTGTGGGGATACTATCCCTGTCGTAAACTCTAAGATGTCTTAGACCTTTGGGTCCTTCACAAAGAGCTGTAATTGAAATCAGCAAAAATGTCAGAGGGTTATTGTATTATTTTCATAAGAAATATTCCTCAAGGCTGCACAGACCTTGAGGTTTTCTTGTAAAATTTGGGGATCTGGGCAGTCACTGTGCTGCCTTGTACATTTTAAGAATTTTTTGTATCCATAGAAAATGCATCAGTGAGTCTCCACTTGAATAAATCAGAGGCTCAGGTTTATTTGAAACAGCATGAACTTTGAAACTGCAAAATCCCTGAGATGCTCTCAAGGATGATACTAATGCAGAATGTACCAAGCACTTAGTTAGTGTTTGGTCCCAAAGCCGAGGAGGATGCTTTCAAGACCAGCATGGGAAGTGCCCAAGCTAGAGGAGGAAGCAGAGAAAGAACCTGGATATTTGGGGCAACAGGCTTCCATCTGAGCTGTGCACAAATGTTCCTTACACTTATTTCCTCTGAGCTACTCTCTTGTCCACCTGATTTTCACTGTTGTCAGTGTTTTGCTTTGACTTTTACAGCTTCTCCCTCCTCCACCTTTGTCTGGCACTAGTTATCTACAGGCATAGTTCCTGTCTGAGGCTCCTTTCCATGATCATAATTCTCACCGGGTGCTGGTGACAGTCCCCTCCTTTGCCTCATCAGACCATCTGATTGGTGTCACTTTGCATGGTGGCTTCACTAATCCTGTCCACATCACTGCACTTGGTGCCTTCGTAAACTCTTCAGTCATCCCACTGGCTGTGTCATGTGTTTCCTGCAAGGATTCTGCCTCACAGGTCAGCTCAAAGTAAAAGAGTACGGGGATGGAAGCCCAGAGTGAACCCCCAAAAGGAACAGAACTCTGGCTCTTAGGAGCTAACATGAGCCAACTCCAGCCCACTCCTGACTTGGTCCCCTCCTTATATTATTGTATTTCCATTCTATTTCAGTCCTTAGGCAAACCACCCTTTTAAAGGGCATTGTGGTTATAGAAATTTTAAATGTTGTATAAACACAGTAAAAACAATAACAATCTGAGAGAGCTTTTTATCTGGCGGGTGAGATTGGGACCAATGTCTCAATAACTGGAGAAGAGAAATTCTTGAACTTCTACTGCTTTTGTGATATCAAATGCAATAGACTATTTCTTATGATTCAAACAAGATCTAGAATCTTAACTCCCTAACAGCAATGCAGGAGGCAAGAGGAATCTGGAGGCAGCCTTAAGGTGAGAGGGAATAAGAAAAATAGAAAGCTGGTTCTCAGAGCCTCAGTCACTGCTGTCCATTTTCTTTGGTGCCCATATATTCACCTGGGGCCCTGAGTTAGTCCCACTGGACAATGCAAGAGGTTTAAGGACAGTCCTCCCATGGCATGCACACAACTCACACCTCACATGAGAGCATGAAAAGGTACATTTGTGATTTTTTTTTCCTCCCTAGTCTGAAAGCAATGAGACAGGCTGAGCTGGGATAGAAACTGGCTTAGGTGCAAGATCTCAACAGCATAGCTGCCAGCCCACACTCTCCTTGGCTTAGGCTGGTGATATCATTTCCTCACTTTCATGTGCCTTAAAATGCATGGGGGAGAAAAAATTTTAAAAGGGGAAATGAATGAAGAAATTATACCCCCTCAGAGACAAAAGTAGATTTGTACACTCTGTGTCTTCTCTGAGCCAATGTAAACACAGGTCTTTCCCATGCCAAACTTTCTTCACCAAGAGGCCCTGCCAGATGCGCTAATGAATAGAGAGCCGAGGACAGATTAAAATCAGGGCATTCCTGAAGTAGCAGTTTTGATTTCTGGTCTTTGGTTCTGGACTTCATTTTTTGTGTGTGTGCATAGTTTTTTTTGTTTGATTTGCTTTTAATCAACAGTTCTTGCCAACACCAGTTCCTGAGATTGAAACTTCTTATCTCACAAGAGCACATAATTATGTTTCAGGGTTGAATTGGGTGGAAGAGTGAAGCTCTCAGATTGCTTTATTCTAATTGAGAATAAAGTAATTTCTAACTTTATTTGGAAACGTGTGTTACATTCTGCATAGGTGTGTTTTAAATGTTTCAAAAAATAAAGGCAAAAATCTTTTCAGAGGCCCTTTGGAAGTGACCTAATTGGGAAATATCAACTAGAGCAACAATGCCATTCACCTAGTTAACTGAGCACTAGTGAGGAGTTATGAAAATTAAGTAAATTAGAAAAATGTTGTTTAAGAAACACTGTTGTGATTAGAAGTAAAACTATTACAAGAATTTGTGAAAACATGAGAGAAATCAGAGAAATGAACTTTCTTCATCTCTATCTGTGGTTCCGAACAAAAATGAAAAAGGTACCAAAAGCTACATATTGAAAAAAAAGAGTGAGGGAGATTAGAGAGATGAAGGGCGTGGGCGAGACCAGATCTCTTCTAAAGGTGTGTTTAACTTATAAATTATTTCATGCACACTGTGGGAGGGAGACATGCAGAGGGGGCAATAAAAGCCACCCTGTAAGTGACAAGGGTACAGGATGAAAGAAAAGCAAATACTTCCTATGCTCACTCCAAATGCCATACACTTGACTTAAACTGTCCCACTGGAATTTCATAATAATATTACAATGTAGGTAATTATCTCCAATTTTATAGATGAGAAAATTGAAACTCAGGAGGCTTAAGATACTTATCTAAGTTGATCCAATTAGTGAGAAACATGGGTTTTACTGAGGTCTGGTTCATTCCAAAGCCTGTTCTTTTCCCACAGTCCACGTGGCTTTGGAATCCAAAACTAATGTCAAGGGTGTGTGTGTGTGGGGGTGGGTAGAGATGGGTATTTCAGCCCTTCACTGTCACCCAGTTCTGTCACTGAAAACAGATAAGATCCAGTAATTTGGAGGCTGCCAAGCAAGGCATTGCTGTAGTAGTCTAGAAAATCTCATCTCTAAGGCATGTGACAGAGGGCGCCACCGATTCACTTTGCCAGATAAATGCAGACACAAGTATTCTACAGTCCACAGGGATCAGCGGGGTATGCAGCACAGAATATGCACCCCTTGTCAAGTACTCTGTTTGCATGAGCGGTTTCAGATGGTCCACCTACTCATTCTGATGATCAGCCTCTGGAAGAATGGACATATCCATGGCTACCAGTCAGAACAGGGTAAGATGTAATAATTTATTTAACTAACCTTAGTTATTGAATTGTTAATTAAAGTTATATTTGAGAAGCCTTGAGAGGAGGGTAATGTTTATCCTTGATATATAATAAATTAAGTGCTGTGATGAAATTGTCCTTCTTAGTAAGGAGAATAAGAGAACATTCACATTCTAGTGACCACAGAGGCACAATAAATGAGCTAAGTGGTCCACTGAATGGGGCACAGGCTTTCTAAACTTTATATATGCTCTGAAGCTTGGTATTGCTTTAAGCTTCCACTTCTAATATTCAACTGTTTATGAACTGTTTTTAAAACCATTTTTTATTTTTCAATTACAGTTGATGTGTAATATTATATTGGATTCAGATGTACAACCCAGTGATAAACTTCATATAACTTACTGCATGATCACCCCGATAGACCTCATACCCACCTGACACCACACATAGTTATTAGAATACTGTGGACCATATTCCCTGTGCTGCACTTCACATCCCTGTGACTAATTCTGTAACATCAATTTGCACTTCTTAATCCTTTCACCTTTTTCATCCATCTCCTCAACCTCCTTTCTCATCTAACAACCATCAAAATGTTCTTAGTATCTATGACTCTGTTTCTGTTCTGCTTGTTCATTTATTTTGTTTTTTAGATTCAACTGTTGATAGATATGTATTTATTGCCATTTTATTGTTCATATTTTTATCTTTTTTCTTCTTCTTAAAGATGACCCTTTAATATTTTATGTAATACTGGTTTCATGGTGATGAACTCCTTTATTTTTTTCTTGTCTGGGAAGCTCTTTATTTGCCCTTAAATTCTAAATGATAGCTTTGGTGGGTACAGCAATCTTGGCTATAGGTCTCTGCCTTTCATGACTTTGAATATTTCTTGCCAATCCCTTCTGGCCTATAGTTTCTGTTGAGAAATTAGCTGACAGTCTTATGGGAGTTCCCTTGTAGGTAATTAATTGCTTTTCTCTTGCTGCTTTTAAGATTCTCCCTTTGTCTTTGGCTTTTTACATTTTAATTATGATATCTTCATGTGGACCTCCTTGGAGTCACCTTGTTTGGAACTCTCTGAGCTTCCTGGACTTGTCTATATCCTTCAACAGTTTAGAGAAGTTTCCTGTCATTATTTTCTCAAAAAGTTTTCCAATTTCTAGCTCTCTCACTTCTCCTTCCAGCATCTCCATATTGCAAATCTTGACTGTTGTTGTGCTTAAAGTTGTCTGAGAGCCTCCTTACACTATTTTAATCCTTTTGGATTATTTTTCCTTTTGCTATTGAGGGGTTTTTTTGCTTTCTTATATTGAAAATCACTGATTCGATTCTCAGCTTCATATTCTCTACTGTTAATTCCTTGTAAATTACTCTTCATTTCAGTTAATGTCTCCTTTATTTCTGACTGGTTTTGTCTTACGGCTTCCATGTCCTTTTTTTATGCAGTTAAAGTTCTCACTAAGTTCACTGAGCATCCTTATAGCCAGTGTTTTGAACTCTGCATCTAGTAGTAGATAGGTTGTCTCCATTTTGTTAAGTTTTTTTCTTTCTTTTTTTAAAAATATATTTTATTGATTATGCCATTACAGTTGTTCTATTCCCCCCTTCATTCCCCTCCACCCTGCACACCCCTCCCCCACCATTCCCCCCTTTAGTTTATGACCATGTGTCTCAAGTTCTTTAGATTCTATATTTCTTCCACTATTCTTGCCCTCCCCCCATCTATTCTCTGCCTACCGTCTATGCTACTTATTTTCTGTACCTTCTCCCCCCTTCTTTTTCTCCCACTCCCTTATTGCTAACCCTCCATGTGATCTTCATTTCTACGGTTCTGCTCCTGATCTAGCTATCCTCTTAGTTTGCTTTTGTTTTGGGTGTGGTTCTTAATAACTGTGAGTTTGCTGTCCTTTCACTGTTCATCTTTTTTATCTTCTTTTTCTTAGGTAAGTCCCTTTAACATTTCATATAATAAGGTCTTGGTGATGATGAACTCCTTGAATTTGATCTTATCTGAGAAGCACTTTATCTGTCCTTCCATTTTAAATGAAAGCTTTGCTGGATAGAGCAATCTTGGATGTAGGTCTTTGGATTTCATGACTTGGAATACTTCTTTCCAGCCCCTTCTTGCCTGTAAGGTCTCTTGAGAAATCAGCTGACAGTCTGATGGAAACTCCTTTGTAGGTGACTGTCCCCTTATCTCTTACTGCTTCTAGAATTCTCTCCTTCATTTGAATCTTGGCTAATGTAATTATGATGTGCCTTGGTGTGTTTCTTCTTGGGTCCACCTTCTTTGGGACTCTCTGAGCTTCCTGGATTTCCTGGAAGTCTATTTCCTTTGGCAGATTGGGGAAATTCTCCTTTATTATTTGTTCAAATAAGTTTTCCACTCGTGGCTGTTCTCTTCCCCTTCTGGTACCCCTCTAATTCGAATGTTGGAACGTTTAAAGATGTCCTAGAGGTTCCTAGGCCTCTCCTCATTTTTTTGAATTCTTGCTTCTACATTCTTTTCTGTTTGGTCATTTTTTTCTTCCTTCTGGTCCACTCCTTTGATTTGAATCCCAGCTTCCTTTCCATTACTATTGGTTTCCTGTGCATTTCCATTCATTTCAATTAGTTTAGCCTTCATATGTTCCTCTAATTTGTGACTAAAATCAACCAGTTCTGTGAGCGTCCTGATCACCAGTGTTTTGAACTGTGTATCTGAAAGTCTGGCTATTTCTTCATCTCTTATATTTATCAGCTCTGGGGCTCTAAGTTCTTCTTGAGCCATGTTTTGATCTGTTCGTGCCTGTTAGATATGAGGAGTGGAGCCTTAGTTGTTCACCAGGGTGGGGCCACCCAGGTCCCTGGTTTGTGATGCTGTAGATGGGGGCGGGGTCAGAGAGGGACAATGGCCGTCCCCTCTACCACTTCCTGCCACTGGGGCCTGCACGGTCTGTCTCGCCGCTCCCTCCTTCACCGGTTTATCTGCGCGCAAATGTGTGACCATGGTCAGCCCTCAGTGAGTCCACCACCTTGTGCCCTCAGTGGGTCTGCCACTTCTCAACACCTGGGTTGCGCATCTGGGTTCTGCGCCCAGGTCAGTCTGGTGGATCTTTCCTGCCTGACCCCACTCTGCTGCTGGCTCTGCCCTTCTTACCGGTTTGGCTGAAGGGTTCGTAGTTGTCAGACTTCCGTGAAGTTCAATTTTCTGTGGTTTTGGCTGAATTTTTGTTGCTAAAACTTTGTTGTTTTTAAACTTGGTTGTGGGAGGAGGCACAGTGCTTCCACCTATGCCTCCATCTTGGCAGAAGTCCTCCCTATTTTGTTAAGTTTTTCTACAAGAGTTTTGTTCTAGTCTTTCATTTGGACATGTTTCTTTGTCTTCTCATTTTAGCAACTTCCATGTGTTTGTTTCTATGTATTAGGTAGAGCTGCTATGTCTCCTGAGCTTGTAGAGTGGTGTAATGTACGTAGTAGGCATCCTGTAGGGTCCAGTGGCACAGCCTCCCTATTCACCTGAGCTAAGCACTCAGTTGTCTCTGCCTCTGGGTGGGCTGTGTACAACCTCCTGTTGTAAATGAGTCTTGATTGCTGTTGGTACATTTATCAGAGTGATTTCCCACTAGGCCGATGGGCTGCAACGACTGGCTGTGACCACAGTGAAGAATTAGCTATGCACGGGCCTACCTCACAGACCAAGACTTACTTCAGTGAGGCTCTGGTGCCCACTGAGCCATCCCCATCAGTGTCTTGCTTGTGGAAGTGGAAAGGTGGTGTCTGAACATGGCCTGAAGCTGTCTACTCATTGCGATGGATCTGGGGCCTTCTGGGAGGTGCAGGTCAAGGTCAGCTGCTGCCTGTGCCCTGCCTGGGGCCTGCTGGCGTGAGCTACAAAGTGATCTGCAGATTGCTGCCACTCATGCTGGTCTTGGAGTTGCCAAGGGGAGGCCAAGCTATGAACCAAGGCCAGCTGCCACTATTACTAGGTCTGGGGCCACTTATCTAGAGGTATAGGATGAACCAAACTAGATGCTTCTTGTTTGAGAGCTTTTAGGAAAGTTTGAAGCATAAGCCAAGACAAACCATTTATATGGAAAAGCTACTGGAAACAACTTGGATGGGCCCACAAGTTGGGTGAGGCAGGGTCTCAGAATCACCAGAATGAGACAAATAGCGACAGCTAGCTGGATGGAGGCTCAGATATGGTGCCTGCCTGCTGGCTCTGTAGGGTGAGGGTTCAGCAAAGAGACAATGGCCTCTGCTAACACCTCTGTCTGGGAGAAAGCTGCCCCTCCAGCTCTTCCCTTAATGCCAGACAGTTCGGTTCCTCCCCCTATGTCCCTGATGTGAACTGTTTATATATAAATCTTAGAAATGTGACACTATGTTATCACATATATACATACACATATATATGAAGAATTCACTCAAGAGGATGGATTTAGAAAATCAAAATAGAGATGTTGCTCTAAGAGATATGTGTTCATATGTGTTGATACCAAAGCTAGCTGGGTAGATTCAGGAAAAAGAAGGGGGGGCTGGTAACAGCACTCCCATGAGACCCCACGGATTCAGGGGAAGGTTGATGGTGCATTACACAGGGAGTCTGTGAAAATGAAGGAGAGAAAATGTCAGCAGAAGTTCAATCTTGCCCCTGGATCCTTTCCAGAGCAGACGACAGAAGACAGGGAGAGAGACTACTGCTTAGAGACCTGAGTCTTGCACCATGTTCACCCCATCCACTCTTGCTGGAGAAATGGTGATGATGCAGTAATGCCATTGAATTCTAGGTCAAGAACTATAATTTAATAAGGTGACTAGTGCAGGAGGGAAGCAGGAATGATTAACCAATTTTTGCCCCTCTGTAAAATTCAACTAGAAACCAGGATGGATTTAACCATGCAAGTAAAGTCATGGGTGAATTTAGCTTTGAGGAGGAAGAAAAGGAGGCAGAGGAAAACTAAATGCATTTTTGCAAATAGCTTTGTTCCAGTGAAATATGCATGCCTGGCAGAAGA